ATATATATATATATATATATATATATATATATATATATATATATTGAATGACACAACATGATCCCGCCCAAAGTCCCAAATCGATATTAAACTTATGCTAACATTGGATGTATGTATCACCACTGTAAATTTATTTTAAAAAATATATCTGTGATAATTATTAAAGATAGATGGAAAAAAAAACAACATTTTTTAAATATGATTACATCCATTTGGAATTTATGTTTACTCTAAAATCAAGCAGTAATTATTATCTTCAGAGCACCTACTTCATGTTGTGGCGTTATCTTCGGGAGGCACAACCCCAATTAGCCTGGTCAGTGACCTTAATAAAGAGCAGATGATGATGTGTGGCAGGGAAATAAAATTGAACAAGTGAAATTGCTGAGCAACGGAGAGGAAGACGGTGAAACAGAAAAAGGGGGTAGGGCAGGGTATATTTTAAAAAAAGAAGTTTAGAGGGAAACGTGGCAGTGGATTTGATGGATTGATGACTAAGTAAGACGATAAATAGAAGAAGAGACTGAAGGATGAATGGGTGGATGCCTCGACACATGCCCCCAGGGAATCAGTCATTATACATGCAACTGTCACTCAAGATTAGAGGCATAATTAAACTCCTGTCGCACGGCGTGGGGCTCCGGAGTGTGCTGCGCGTGAATGTGTATTTGTTTGTGCACGCATCCATCCTTATACCTGGGAGTTGTTTTTCCGTGTGCGTGCATGAGCGTGCGTGCGTGTGTGTGTGTGCGCGCGCGTGTGCATGCGTGGGAGGAACACACTGTGACAGAGATTGATGGTGAGGGGAAAGCAGGCCATTATGTTGTGTAGCTAAAGCACTGATACCCTCTCCACCTCAGTGTCTGTTTAAGCTACTGGCCATATTATAGGCGTGGCACAATTGACCCCTGAAGCGCGCAGACTTTTCACTGACTCCTCTACTTTTAAATTGGAAACAAAGTGGTCGATTTTATATGAATCTGGGCTCTATCCATAACTGGAATGCCCGCTGCAGAAAAACACAAGACTGTAGAGTGAAATTAGGTGTCATATACAGACGAGACACAATTTCTAATTTAGAGGCAATCCTGGACATTTTTTTTTGACAAGCCTAAAGAACTGTTTTTATAGCTTCAATAGTGAAGCCTTGAGCTTTTTTTTTTTCTTCTTTTTTTTACATTGTTGGATAAATGTAAAATGGGGATGGATACGCAGTCTTTACAGTTCAAAGAGGACCCTCTCGAGTCCCCAGTGAATCAGGGAGGTGACACACTTGATTCACCAGTTTATCATCAAGGTTCAGAGGGCCGTGCTCAGCAGCAGCTGCAAACCGAGCAAAAGAAGCATCTTTGCCCTGTCAATGTTTGTGTTTTGGAGAGTAAAAGAAGCCCACTGCCCCCCCGCAGAGCCGAGCATCAGCCTCAGCAAGTCAGCCAGCAGCAACTACAACAGGGGAGAAGCTCTTTAGGCTGCCCTTCAAAGTAAAAGTTTCACTTATTGGCTGTGGCACATGATACAGGAGGAAGAAAGGCGTCACCCCATTAGCTGAAGTTACCTACGTCAGTTAAACAAGGGTAAAATTAGCATCGACAGCTAGCATCCAGCATTTATCGTTTGTTTTTTCACATCTTCAAGAAGGCTGCAGAAACCACATGAACGTCAGGAAATAGCCAACACCTCAATTTTAAAGTAGCACTGACTCTGCCTCTGAGGTTACGAAGGTGAGTTATTAGTTTCTAATTAATGTGGGTTGAACAAATTGCGGCTTGACGCTCAAGTTTTTTTTTTTTTTTTTTTTTAATTTTGGAGGTTAACACGTTCACAGTACATAAATCACCTTTTGACCTCAATGTGAAAACTTTGGGTACTACAGTGTTTTGTTTTTGTTCTTTGACTAATAACTCTACTCATTTTAATCTGTTGACATTTATCTTGCAGATTATTAAATATGTATATTTTAAAGCAACTCGTGCTGCATTATATCGACTAAAAACTCGGAGTAGCTTTAGGACTTTCAGGTTAGCCATCCAGCAGATTCTTCCAAGGTGGATGTTGAAATTTCCTACTTCCGGTAAAACAGAAATAACGCACCACTATTAAAGACAACCCCTTGAAAAAAAAAAAAAAAACTGAACCACGTCAAAGCATCGATAGGACAAGTTACTTGTTCTAATGTCTGGGAAAAAAAAAAAAAAAAGCATAATAACGCTGTCATATTCGGCACCTTTATTTTGGAAATCCGCACCAGAACAGCAGCATGGAGGCGTGCTGTTTGACTTGACAGATGGCAGGCGGGAGACGCTCCTCACGGCTGTCTCTCTCGGTCCGTTGGTCCATCCCGGTTCCCATTGTCTCCCCCTCCCCAGTTCTTCAAGACAAATCCTGAGACAAGAAACTGAACCCGGACGTCATTTGGCTGGGATCCGCTTTTGCGCGTCACGTCTGGAGACTTACTTTCGACCTGGAATTTAACAACGCGAAATTCTGCGCGTAATTCGGACACCAGTGTGTGTGTGTGTGTGTGTGTGTTTTTTTTTCTTGTTGTTGTTTTTGTGTTTATTATTGTGGAAGTGTTTTATTTAATTAGAAAGAAGAAGGCTGGGGATAATCGGATGACGGTTCTCACCAAGAGAGAGAGAGAGAGAAAGAGAGAGAGAGAGAGAAAGCTGGTTGTGGACCTGAAGGGGAGATGATCCTAAGGAAGGGGACTCATTAGACAGAAGAGCCACAGAAATCATCTTCAAGGAGGCTGACATATATCAGGAGACCCTATCAACGCTTCCACTCTCCACTGCCTGTCTGGATAAAGTCAGGACATGTAGTGGGAAAACTCGTGTGGAAAGAAGACAGCTTTGTTTAGGAGAGGATGTTGCTGCTACGTGCCCGTCCCCTGAGATAAGAAGAGGAGAGGAGCCCGTCTGTGCGTTGGGGAGGATTAAAGAAAAAGAAAAAAAAAAGATAGATACATGCCAGAACCACTTTCACTTGTTTCCTCCACCTGGAAACATATTACCCTTACCAAAGCAGGCAATCGGGGCTTTTAATCGGATTATTGAGCGAAAGATCCGAGAGATCTGTGGGAATACATCCAGCCAGTTCCACCATCTGTCTGGTGCTGTCCAGGATTGTGCCAATTCAGCAGGGATAACGATGAGATGAGCCCTGAACGGATTACCGGTCCAACTAGGTGAAGTCTGGAGGAGCTGAATGGACACAGCTGGAACATTTTCTTGTCAATGCTGAGGAGTTTTCATTTAGTTTACAATAGGAGAAGACCTGTTTGATTTTTCTCTCCACCTCCCCTGCTAAAGATGCTCATTGCCTGCCTCTTACTCAAGATAAATATTAACTTGTTGTCTTGAATTGTGCTAAACTGTCCTGAAGGGCCTCTTTCCACACTTGATCCCTGACCTGTGTTTTTTTTTTTTTTTTAAAGGAGACCACTCATCAGTTTTTCATCTGGATGAAGTAGTCAGCCCTGATTGCTGTGAGCACCAGGGAGCACAGGGGCTGTGCTTTGCTCTCCGAGGCCCCCAAGAAGTGCCTCCACCCGGGGTTGCCAGACAGCCAGACAGCCCCTCGCTGGAGGGGTGGGTGGAGGTGAAGGAGAGACTTTGGGAATTATCTAGAGTTTCTGGACCTCTGCATAGAAGAAGAAGAAGGAGGAGGAGAAGGAGATCATGGGGTGTTGCAGCGGCAGGTGCACCTTGGCCTTCATCTGTGGCATGCAGCTGGTAAGTGCCGAGATTACTATTGATCCTGTAACGGAGATGATCGATCAGGAGGGAGAAAAGCATTTTTTTTTCTTCTTTTTTATCTTGTAAGAGCTTGACAAACAAATAATCTGTCATGGGCAATAAGTGGCAGGAGGATCCTAGATGTGGCAGGGAAGTGGGAGACAGGTGGGTGCATGGATTACTCAAAGGTTACAAATTCAGAAGGTAACAGGAGTGTAAAAGGTCACGATATAGGAGGTGAAATGAATGAAAGGTGATCTCTAAAAGCAGTGGGGGGCTGGGGAGGGGAAAACATGCTTTGCTGAGTTGCAAATGGGGGGGGGGGAAGAGGGACAGGAGTGAAGCAGGAAAATATCCAGCGCAAAGCATCACCAGCTGCTTATCTGCTCCTTGGTGTACCGCTCTTTCTCCTTTCACCATCTGGGTCGTCGGGAAGTGGTACCAGGGTGGGATGAAGGGGCAGGGCTGTTTGCATGCATCCCCACCCGAAAACTCTGGAAATGGTAACAAAGAGCTCCTTCGTGGTTTGGCAGGGACCTGCTGCTGTAATGCAGAGCACTTCATCAGTTTATGGGATTTTTCCTCCTTTTTCTTGACAAATAAGATCAGATATAGAGACATGGCTGTAAAAGTATTTAACTTGAGTGGTTTTTTTTCACTTAAGGAAAATAATCCAGTGTTTATCAATAAGTATTTATTTTCACAAGTTTCCTTTAAAATAAAGGTCTACTTGAAGCTCCAATTAGTACACTTTTTTTTTTTTTTTTTTTTTTTTTTTTTTTCCCTTGAGAATAATACTCGAACCGCTCAACCCTC